TCGGAGCGGCCCACGGCCTACCAGCCTCCCTTGGTGCGCTGTCGGGGTCTTCCCCCGCCTGTGCCCGCCCTCAGCACGCTGCAGGACGCGGAGGACGACGATGACGATGACGATGATGAGAGCGATGCCGACGTAAGATTTGCCTTCTCCTCCAGCGCGCGGACAACTGCGTCCAGTTTGGTCGGTTTCCTTTTCGCCTTCGCTCTCTTGCGAGTTTAAAATGTGATATTAGTAATTAAACTTTGTGTGTGAGTGTGAGTTTTAGAGTGTGATCTATCGTTCTCTATCGTGTGAATGTTGTTTGCGAGTTTTGTAAATGTGTAGAATATGTGTTTGTGTGTGAAATATTAGAGCTGTATTTTCAAAAGCGTCCTCGGCTGTCCTCTTGCAAGGATCAGTGATGCATCTGAGAAATGAGACTGGTAATATTATTAGTGTATTTAGGTAGTAATCTAAAATGTGCCATTGTGTGCCATTGTGGAGAAACCCCTGTAATTCCAGATTCTTAGTACTTAGTTAGGTCTATGTTTATTCATCTGTTCATTCAGATAACCCGAGAAAACTGTACTCTGATTTATCTGTAAGTTAAAGTTTTAATTCGTAATTAAGTAGTTTATCGTGCAAGTCTGTCCCTACAGCTTACTCGAGCAACCCGTACTTTTTCCATAGTGTAATTGAGTTGTTTATTATATTTTTTTCCAGTATACTTTCCAGTATAGGCTGTGGAGAAACCCTTGTAATTACTTCTAAATTTATGGTTACATATTTGTATTTATATGTGACTGTAGGGAAATGTGCGTAGTTCCCAAAATGCTCACCCATTTCTGCATGTGGTCGTGGAGGAACACATGTAATTTCTGAATATTAGGATTAGGCCTACACATCTATTCATGTGTTGTAGGAGTAAACCCCTGTAATTCATTTTTAAGGCATCATTCTGTTTTTACAGATTACTCGAGCAACCCGTACTAGATGCATCAATTTATTCTTAATGAATGATTGAGGTAATTTAAGATATCAATTACGTTAAGTTTATTGTTAAGCTACAAAACATGGGAAAACCACGTCCCTTTGGTACAAACCCCCCAGTGAATTTTTGTACAGAAAAATTTGAGTGTTGTATCGTAAGTATCATAAGTAGTATTCTATAATGTTTCCATCTGTTACCATAAAATATATTGTAAATATATTGTTTGCAGCTAACTTGAAAAAGAAGCTTATACGAGTCTGTGACGTACTGTTGATTTGTACATACCTTTAAATACTTTTTCAAAATAATAACTTGTAGTCATTTGTGTTATATTTAGAATTTGTTCAGAGCAAATGTGTAAATTTGAGATTAATCCATTAGTGCAATGGATATGGATGAATTTTGACCTGTGAGCAGTATGTGGTTATTTTTATGCATGTTATTTATTGAATAAAATATTATTTGTTTTATATTCGTTACATCGGTAGCTTTTATTTTATCTTTTTAATTTATTCCTTCTTTGGATAGGAATGACACTTTTATCTACTGACAATTATAACACATGGTTAAACCGTATAAATTGGAGATGTTATAAATGAGTTCCAGGAAGTACAACTAAAACCTTATAGCTTAACTAAGTGTGAATGCATCTTATTAGATAGTTACTCTTTGAGGCTGGGGTGCAGGCCTTATAAGACCCCAAAGTGGAGAGGACACAGCTTATTTTAAGACACATACTTAAAAAGAATTATTATTACTATTATAAATCGGAGATCAAATACTTTGGTTTTCTGTGACCTAGCACAGTCCTCAACGCCTCTCCGACACCTCGATCCACATCTCGTCTGTCGGGGTCATGATAAAGCCGAACATGGCGTCCTCCTCCGGCTCTGGCACGGGGACACCCTCCGGCATGGCGAAGCGAAAGCCTTGCAGAAGAGCAGCAAGGAACAGGAAAAGATTTTGACGTGCGAACGTCTCTCCGGCACATAACCGCTTGCCTGGAATACAAAACCCGTTGAACTTCAGGATCAAATCAGTTATCCCAAGAACAGCTGTTGTGTTTTTCAATGATTGACATTTTGCAAACTGAATCAAAATTTTATGTATTCAATTTTCAAAAAGGTCCAAAATTTGTGGTCCATTTTAGTTCAAGGTGAGAAACATTTGGTTTGTGGCTCGAATATCAAACATCTGTTTAATCTAACTCGTTGCTTTTATTTGAAAGATAAAATAAATACTCAACACCGCTAACTTACCTAGCCCGAAAGACACGGTGACGTCCTTCTTTTTCAGCTGGCCGTTCTGCTGTAAGAATCTCTCCGGCATAAACTCGAAAGGTTTTTCGAACACGTTGGGATCCCGATGAGCAGCCCACGCGTTCGGGACGATGAGCGTGTTCTGAAGTATAGGAGACTGGGTGTTAAATCCGAGGTGATCCACCAGCGACCAGCGATCACCATTGCGGGGGCCGCCTGCGTAGGTAGGCAACCCAAGAAGCGCGGGAGCGCGATCGGTTGCCTACAGCAGCGGACACAGGGAGAGGAGACTATCGCTTATACCTTCGGGACGTAGTATCCTCGGAAATAGGAGTCTTCGGTAGCCCTGTGCGTGACCGCGAATGGCGTCCCCGTGAGCCGGAGTGTTTCCCTGAGGAACGCCTCGGTGTACGGCAAGCTGCGGAGAAGAAGCGTGCGTTAGGCGCTGTGTCCGAGAACGACGACGACGCCACTCGGTCGCGCTTTTGTCACGTACTCGACTCGGTCGTTGAGGTCAGGAAGGCGGTCCAGGCCCACCACGTCCTTGATCTCCTGGTGCGCGCGCTCAGCCATCTCCGGGTGGCGCATCATGAAGATGACGGCGAAGGTGAGCGCCGAAGGGATGGCCGTGGCCGCGGGGAATATGTAGTCCATGAGCGTGAGCACCATCTGCATCTCTGAAAGCAGAGGGACCTCCTGAGTACAGTAGGAAAGAATACAGTACAGAATAGAAACAACACAGTACGGGAAGTCCGCGCATCCAAATCAAAAACAAACGACGGCGATTATTGCGGGGCGAGTGCGAAGTCGACGCGTCGTTTTGCGTTATTATTATCACACGCTGATAAACCGCTTCGTGTGTGTGTGACACTTGCCTGTGAACGACGAGTCCTCCCCAGCGCGCTTCTGCATCTCCAACAAGTACTTGTCGCAGAAGCCGCGGATGATCTCCGAGTCGAACGAGTCCTTGTGATCCTGGACGTGCGCCTGGCAAACATTAGAAGCCACAACATGAAAAAAGCTCGTGCTCTCGTGGAACAGTAAAGTGTAGCCGACGTGCCCCTGATCATTTCGTAGTTATTTGCCGTTGGCCGACTGCCGCCGGGCACCCTCTAAGTTATACTGTACCGCATGCACGGGTGCGCGTGGGTTTGCCTATGCTTCTTGCCCACTGCTCCTTCTGGCCCCGTGCGAGTGGGCAACCCACCCTCTCGCGCGCATGCGGTCCAGTATAAAATGCGAAAGGGCACGGCGTGGGGTTTCTCCTCGCTCCCGGAGAGCGCCCTCCTCACCTGGATGAAGTGCATGAGGCCGTCGTTGCCGCCCTTGTAGGCCGTGTACCCGGAGAGGCCGGGAGCTACGAAGCGCAGCCAGGGCGTGGCGTCGATGGCGCGCCCGCCGGCGTTGCCCGCCCTCTGGAACTCCAAGACGTGGCGGGCCACGACGCGCGCCGCCGGGTACTGGTCCGGGGTCACCCGGGTGCCGGTCAGCACCGCCAGCGCCATGTTCATGGAGGCGGCGGCGAACACGTCCGGGAAGAGCACGCGGCCACCGCGCGCCACGTCCGCGTCGTGCGGCGTCAGGTTGGCCCGGAGCAGCTGCGTCACGCCCTGCACCTCCTCCAGCACCAGGGCCTCCAGCTTCTCGAAGCGCCGCCCGAAGCCGTAGTCGCGCATGTGGCGGAGGGAGAACCGCCGCTGCACCTCCCAGTACGGGCCGTCTGTGAAGAAGATGCCTGATCGGAGGGACAAGGGTCAGAACGGGGGCGTCCAGGTGCGTCACGGCGGCGGCCCCGGGGCCCAGGCTCACCGTGCAGACGGCCGAACGCCCGGACCCGGCCCGTGAAGCCGTCCGGCCGCCCCTGGAACGCCGGGTGCGAGAACATGTCGCGCACCGTCTCCAAGTCGTTGGCCACGACCATCGGGAAGTCACCGAGGAACAGTCCCAGCAGCGGGTTGCCGTAGTCCTTGGACAAGGCCGCCATGGCCTTCATGGGGTACTTGTTGTTCCTCAGGAGCAGCTGCCATAGGTTGCCCCACACGGGCAGGCGCAGAGGCCCTGGAAATGGAGATCGGTTCACGGTTGTTGCTTGGGTGACGGGGGGTGCACTCGGTCGGTAGTGCAACCCTCGCCCACTCACCTGGGGGGAAGTCTGGCGGCCGGGAGCGCGCGTAGCGGACGAGGCACGCCAACAGGGCGACGAGGAACAGGACGAGGAGGACGGGCGACATGTTGCTCCTGGGGTCGCTGCTCGACTGGCCTGGCCGCGCACTCGCTCCTGCTATTTACCAGAGTGCGCCGCCGATAGGAAAGGGGTTGTGGCGGGAAGCGAGCACTGCGCGCTCCGTTTGAAAGGACCGATAACGGTCAGCATTGATGTCTGCAGTAATAAATATTTTTGTGGCTTTCGGAGTTCATCGAGTCTCTTTATTCATGGTGACATGTGACTTTTATGACTCAAAATTGTAGGTACTTTGCACTTTTAAAAAATGACTAGTAAAGGAGAGGCGTACTGCCGTGACGGCTGTGTCGTTGCCATTTATTTAGAATATCGTGATTATGATTAACAGGGTCATGAACAACTTCTTTGTTTGCATTATATAATGGAAACTCTAATTTTGAGGCAAATCTAAGACTCATTGTTTGATGACCCCCGAACTTTTATTGCTAATTGCGGGCATGATGCGCCGCCGCTGCGCCACTGAGTCTCTCAATGAAAACTGGAGCGATTGGGCGAGCACATGACAGAGCTTCCGACAGAAGACTACGATGCTCTCAATAGATAACGCCTACCAAAGTCCCATTACCGTACCCGCAATTAAGTCTCCAGTCCATCAATTTCATCTTTCCCAATTATTGTCGTTTGATCTTCCTGCCCGTCCTCTGGTGACCATACAACTCTTCTTTGCGGCTCGGTGTCGCTCTTTTCTTTGTCACACTTTTCTCTCACTGCGCTATCGCTGGCGCCGCGGCCAGCTCGGTCCGCTCATCCGGCCTGACTGTGGACGTCGTCCGCCTTGAGCGGCACCGCCTGGTACATCTCCACGGCCTCCTCGCGCTTGCCCCGCCCGGCGCCGGCGAGTCTCCTGCGCACCGCGCGCCCCACCGGCGGCGAGAACATCTCCGGGTCCGGCAGGTCCGCGAAGCCGCCCTTCTGGCCGCGCCGCGTGCGCACAGCCCGCACCAGCGCGCTCACCGCCGAGCCCACCGTGACCGTGATGGCCACGCCGATCACGACGAACAGGAACGGGGAGATGCGGAACAGCGGGAAGAGGTCCTCGTCGTACTCCACCCTGCTGGCGAGCGTCGGCAGGACCGGCAGCGGTGTCGACGGAGCGGTGGTGTTGGTGAGAGTGGCGCTGCGGACGAGAAGCAAGGCCATCATGGTGGGGACCCAGAGGCGCCCACCTATTTAGCGCGTCGCCGACACTACTCACTTGCATCCGTCAGTCCTGGTGGGCAGCATGGGGTAACGCAGTCTGCCGGAGTGCTTGGCCTGAAGGTTACCCAGCGTCACGACCGACATGAAGCCCAAGCTGGCGGAGGCCCCCGTCAGCGCACCCACCGACTCGGCCCAGGGCACGAACATCCCAAGCAGGAACAGGCCGAACGTGGCGCCCGTGGTCATGCCCGTCAGCGACAGCGCCACCTGGGAAGGGCGTGTTGTAGTTGCGAGGATCGAGTCGGAGAAAGCAGCGGCCCTCTCTTTCTTTCTTTCTTTGCTCTTTCAGGGCGTACGCTGAAAGCCATTTCGTACCTCGAGGATGCTGCCCAGCTTCTCAACGACCATCACGAGGAAGAAAATGGCGATCCCCTGAATTAGCGTGATTCCTTTGAGGTAGATGGCGGCCTGTTGCTCTGAGGGCTTCTTCGGGAGCCAGCCCTCAATAAAGTCCTTGTATACCGTGCCAGCCAGCGTGTTGAGGATGGAGGACACCGTGCTGCGGACGCAGGGGGAGGGCAGGGGTTAGACGTCTTTTCTCCCCCTCCCCCCAATACACCCCCAGCAGCGCTCAAGCTCACCTGAGCGAAGCGCTGAACACTCCGGCTATGAATATTCCGGATAAACCGGGGAGGTCCCTTGCGACATCCATGACGAAGTGCGGTACCATTTTGTCAGAATGCGACACGACCTAAAAAATTAACACTTCTTTTCTTTGCTATGCTAACTTGTTACTGGGTTTTTAAAAAAATACTTGAGAACAGAAATGCGTGGGACGAAAGCAGAAGTGATGACATTCAGAAAAATTATTTGCTGGGGCAACCAACCATTGTATGGTTAGGTCAGGGACGACCATAAAATATGGTCGAGACAAACATCACTCATTGGTCACAACTATATTTTGGGGCGCTTCACTTATGAATATTTTACATATTGCGTGATCCTTGAACTAGCCATATGTTATGATAGTTGCTACTGAATTATTTTTTCCTGGGTGGGTCTGGTACGAGGTAACCTTTCAGAGATTGAATGTCCACCCTGTTTTCTGATTCATGGCCATGAACCATTTTTTGCTCCGAGTCACATACACGCGATTCGTATCAAACCTTTTGCGCGATGGGGTCGCAGTCGAAGTAGTATGCGTACATGAGGGTGCCGGTGGCACAAGACAGGACGCGGGTTATCGTGAAGCCGGCCGCCAGCGTGTAGGCCGCCCTGAAGACACACAACGAGTCGAGTCGAATGGGTGGCCTATCCTCCACCACGCAGGCGCTGGGAGGCGCGCGACGACAGGACGGCAGTGTTACCTCTTCGCGGCGCCGATGGTGGGCATGGAAAGGTAGCGCTGCACGGAGGACGGCGCCACGGCCAGCGAGTTGAGGAAGTAGAAGCTCTCGCCGAACACCACGTTCCAGAACGTGGCCCGTACGGTCGGGTCCAGGTCCATGCTGCCAGACAAAGTCGATGGTGAGTTGTCATGTGCAGGAGCCTGCAGGCGTTTCGGGTTAACCTCGACCTCGAGTTACGGAAACGATTCTTACTTGAACAGGTCCAACCGTCCTCCGGCTGCCGCACGGTCCCAGGCGCCGCTCAGGCCGCCCACCTGGGGCAGGGTGGCGAAGATGATGACCACGGACGCGAGCACCAAGCTGACCAGCTGCAGGGCGTCCGTCCACACCACGGCGCGCAGCCCTCCCTGCACACCAAGCACGACCGTTTCCACACTACTTCTTGTGCCGCACGTATTGGGGGAGGCTGCAAAGTACTCACCAAACACGTGTAAAACACGCATATGAGGCACGTGACGGGGTTGATGATTTGGACGTCGACGCCGCTCACTGTGAACCAATAGAAGCAAAGGATAACGAGGAAAGTGAAGACACGCGAGGATGATGAAATCCCCACCCACTTTGCGGAGATGGTGGCTAGAGTGTCCTTAGAGCAATATAGGTGAAACTGAAGGGCATGCGCCTACCTTGGTGGAAAGCGAGGCACGGGACGTACATCACGATAGGCATGTAGAGGAACTGGAAGAGACATACTCGCTTTACATGCCGTTACTGCACGCGGATCGGGCAATTAAATTAGTCCATACAGATTGACTCACCGATCCTATAGTGTAAAAGACCGATGAGAGAGTGCGGATCCTCTTGTCAAACCGATGCTCCAAGTACTGAAAGTTTGAAGACAGAAGAGTAATCGAAAAATAATGCAACCATGCTGCTGATCGCTTTTAGGGAAAAGTGGACCTCTCACCTCGTAGCTTGATTCGTATTGGAGGTCATAGAAGGTCGGAAGGAAGAAGTGTACAACTAGAAGCACCACAGGTATGCCAAGCACAGCAACGAGTGCGATCTGAGGGCCGTACGTGTACATGTCTGACGGCACGACCAGCACCGACACACCGGATATGTTGCTATGAATTCAATTCACAAGAGAAGATCGCATTCAGGCAAAAACAAATAGGAAGTAGATAGATCTGCAGCATAACGAACGCGCGAGTAGAATGGGTAGCCTAGCTCTAGGGAGCAATTGCTTTATTTCTGCAATTTTGAACTGGCACTCAGAGTGACACAGAGTGATTATAAGTTGCAGGTACAGGAAGTACGGATAGAAAGTGAGATAAAGAAGGATCGCGCACAGTATAGTGGTTCAGAGAAAACCACGAGCCGTAAAGAAAACACGCTTGGATGAGAAATCAGCATGGTGTTTCGTTCATCTCAAGAAATGTGGAAAACGTCTTCTTTAAAATTTGGGGTAAACGCCATGACCATAATCTCATTCTTCTTTTTGGTCTCGAGATTTAGGGGAAATACTCAACGACAGTTCCCCGTATGCTAACCTGGCAATGAGGGACATGGCGATCGGGAACACCCCCATGGAACGACCGCCGAGGAAGTAATCAGACATGGAGTTCTGTTTCTTGAAGAAGCCGTAGTACACGCCCACCAGGGCGGAGAGCAGCATCATGACGACGAACGAGGAGTAGTCCAGCGCGCCGAAGCGCAGCGCCTGGTGTTCGGGCTCGCCTTCAACTTCCATGCTATCAGGTAATTTGAGTTAGACAGAAATACATTGAGTTATTTCGAAATGTACAAATGCCAAACACTATAAATCTGAAGTGCCGAGCAGGTAGGCGACTTATCTCGCGTGACCTTGTAATTTAGGCTACCAAAGTAATCCACTTCTTGCAGTTGCCTAAACTCTTGGTTGTCCATTTCACATTCACACCGCACGAATACTCTTCTCGTATAGGTGAACCGGTGTACGAAAACCAGCAGGAACCCAGGAGGTGTCTGAATCGAGGCACCTCTTGGCACTCCAGATTTACAGTAAACATAGATGCCAGAAGTAGAGGCTTTCCACTTACGCGAGTTGATGCGTGTGTGACGGTGGCTGCCAGTAAAGTGCGGAGGATGCACCGGGCTCCGCCGCGGAGGGCTCCACGCCACGCGCCACCACCGCACCTTCCTGACGCCAACCACCAGAGGCCACGCCGCCGCCAGAACACGCCGCCACGCCTTATCGCCAGATTTTGCTATTTACTCACCAGGAGCCACGGCAACAAGACAGTGCTCTCGTATGACTTGGCATTGAGTTATCAAAGATAACGCTGGATAATTAGCCTTGTGCTCTGCGCTGCGACGGGACGGAGGGTCGCAAACAGAAGTAAAGAAAATGGAATGCTCTCTCTTTCTTTTTTTCTCAAAATCGGAGTTTATTCATCACAGCCGCAAGTACGAGAAAATTTCCCGTATTGGATTACAAGTTCAATGAGAAAATAGGTTGGCACCCGAAAAATTACATTAATTAATAATTTCTTACGATGGCATTGATAATCATGATCGGTTGGTTTTCGCTTTGGTTTTTGTTCTGACCAGTTTTGGTCGGATTTTTGGTATCTATCGTCTTAACCTAGTTCATAACTGATAAAAAACACAAACTTAAATTACGTTATCGCAGCAGGTCCCCGTCCTCACCCTCACGCCTCCTCCTCCTCCCCGATGTCGGCCGTCTTGGCCTGCTCGGTACCGAGCTTGGCGGCGTCCTCCACCGTGTCGGGCAGGCTGGTCTTGCTCGTCTCGGGGAAGCAGACGGCCAGGACGCTGTTGGCGAGCGTGGCGCAGCCGAACACGATCATGGGCAGGGAGTGCATGTAGCGGCCCAGGAGCGGCGTCTGCGGTGCCAGCATGGAGCCCAGGTGGCCGAGCGTGGACGTGAAGGCGTACAGGGAGTGCCGCACCTTGGTGGGGAACATCTCGGCCGCCACCACGTAGATGACGGTAAAGGACACGGTCACGCTCAGCTTGGCCAGCATGACGGCGAGCGTGCGCGGCCAGGGCGAGGCTGCAACACACGAGGGTGCACGTCAGAGGTCTCCGCACGGCGCTCTGGGCGGGCCGCCGTCTGCACACGGCTGCCCGGCGGGCGGGCCTACCCAGCGCGTGGCAGGCGCTAGCACCGGCGCCACCTCGGGCCACGTTCACCAGTACCTACCTTCCTCACCGCTCGGGATGAAGTGGTAGGAGAAGCAGCACACGGAGGTGATGATCAGGAACACGCACAGGGTGATCCTGCGCCCGAACCGGTTCATGAACCTCCACGCCAGCAGCGCGCCGGGGATCTCCACCAGGACGACGAGCACGAAGTTGAGGTAGCGGTCACCCGACAGGTGCACCGAGTAGATGGAGAGGCCCTCGTACACGAACAGGTTCACGATCCTGCGGGCAAGGTTTCACGTGAAGGCCCTGGTGCTGGTGCTGGCCGCCGCCGGGGACTCTCCCGTGGGTGAGCAGACTCACCAGCAGACGCAGCAGTTGATGAGCCTGAGCACGAGGATGCGCGTGCGCAGCAGCTTCTTGAGCTCCTGCGAGAAGGCCCTGTTCTCGGGCGCGTGCTCGGCCAGGCGCATCTGCTCCGCCTTGGCGAGCTGCTCCTGCTCGATCTTGTCCAGGTGCAGCTCGGCCGAGGCGTGGCGGTTGGTGCGCGCCGCCCGCCGGATCATGTCGCACGCCTCCTTGGTGCGGCCGCGCGCCACCAGCCAGTGCAGCGACTCGGGCACCATCCAGAGCACGGACAGGCTGGCCAGGCCGATGCAGTAGCTGAGGCGCAGCAGCCAGCGCCAGTACGGCATGCCCCACGCGATGCCGCCCAGCCCCGCCAGCCCCAGCCCCCACACCACGTGGCTGTACGCGCTCCAGCCGCCGCGCATCCGCGGGGGCAGCAGCTCCATGCCTGTCGACAACAACAACAGTCTGTGGGGTAATCCGCTACAACACAATCGGAACCGACAGAAGAAAAGCATGACTGCCCGATCTGTTTCCTCTTGAACGCCGATTGGTCGGTGTGGTGGGCAGCCCATGAAAGTGCAGAGGGAAACAGATCGAACAGCCTCTCTTCTTTAGACTCCAGTTGGCTTGCAGCGAAACACCGTATGACCGGCGTCCCTCGATCGTCGTCGCACTGCAACTCGGAGACTCACCCATGATGAAGGCGGCCCCGGACACGCCGTCGTAGAACATGGGGTTGAAGAACTCGAGCACGGCGTACATGGCGTAGTTGGTGGAGAACGACATGATGATGCCGATGACGCCCGCGACGCTGAGCCCCGCCAGCATGAGGGTGCGCCGGCCGAACTTGTCCGAGAAGCAGCCCGACAGCGGCACCCCGATGATGCGTCCAAAGTTGTTGAGCGTCCCTACCAGAGTCAGCTTCCACGCGTTGTCGGTTTCGCACGTCGTCAGGTCCCACTAAATCGAACAGTTTCGTATGAATTTTCAGTTTCCAGATTTCTTTGTAGTGCAAAGTTTGTTTTGGGGCACCCCTTTTACCTCTGTCATGATGGACAGGTCCCTGTTGGGGTACATGTACTGCCCGCAGTACTCCGACACGTTGCTGAACGCGATGTGGCACCCGGGTGACCTTCCGGTCCCCGGTCCCGTTGCAGATCCGGTTGGAGTTCCGGTTCTTCCCAGCGGGACGTAGCGGCGGCAGCGGTCAGGCGCGCCATCGACGTAGGGCACTGCCGACTGCAACCAGCGTGGGTACATTTCGGCGGAGTCCAGCGTCTCGCATTCGGGGATGTAACACCTGAGCGAGGAAGAGAGGCAGGTAGAGAGCCTTCCGATTAGAAAGAACCAGTGCAACGCCGTGCACCGTTCGAGTTGGGGTTGCCACGAACCGGAGTATTAAGAAAAGAACGAATGCATATGACTGAATTTCTAATAATCGTTAGACGAATCAAAAACAACAAGAAACCACCATCAATAATTGCAAGAGACGAGACAGCATTTCTCAACTACTTACGTTTCAGGGGGGCCGTCTACCTGGATTTGAAATCCTGGCGCCAAACCGGCGCCTTTCTCCGCGCTATTTTTAAACACACGTGGTCGTCACACGTGTTCGAATGCAAATTTCCCTCTCCCCCTCGTGACAAACTTCGACACACGGAGCTGCACCGCCGGAGGCAGCCGGAGGCGGTTGCGTCAGCGACGGCGACTCCGAAGGAGGCCGATGTCCCTTCGACGCGTCGCGTTGCCGAAGGGATCTCATAACTGCAAGTGCGAACTTGGAGGGCGTTTCCTTTTCCTTACCTGTAGTCAGACTGTATTGTGGTAAACACGTATGAGAGGTAGAAGAGCGCCTGGAAGATGTACGGCACTGATATAAGTAGGAAGGTGAAAGACTGGTATCGACCCCATTTCCGGAAGATTGTCCTTTCCAGCGCTTGATCGATATCCATTCTGATTTAATTTATGCGCTGAAAAAAGAAATGAGAAGACGCAAATTACTAATCGGTAAATTGCAAGAAGGGGCCAAATAAACATTCGGACTCGGAAAGAAGCATAATAGAAGCCGTCCAATCACCACTTCAATCGAAAATCTTCTTCTTTAAAAATTGAACGCTTAATATCGCTTAACGCGAAAGCCACCAGAAAACGTCACTTTCAAGCCCCCACTTTTGCAGGTTGTTTACGGATACTCCGCACGTATCCGTAACCTCAGGATGTAAAAGCACGAACACCTAAACCTGCACCTGGGAGGGGGAGGGAGTGGGAGAGGGAGGCTCCGGGGAGCTCCCAGCAGCACGGGTGCACTCACCCGTCGAGGCCCTGCTCCGGCTGCGCCCTGCTGCGCCCTGTTGGTCGGCGCGGGTGGGGCCCTCCTTGTCCGCCGCTGGTCCGCGGTCCTCTGAGGACCCCGATGGCGCTGTCTCTGGCGCAGTCGCCGGCCTCGTCCCGCACAGGCACAGGCCTTGGGACGGCGGCGAGCCCTGGCTCTCGGCGTCATGATTGGTTCTTAATAGAGAAGCGACCAAACTCATTGGCTGCGTTCGCCGCGCATGAGGGGGCGCCATGCACTAGTGTGTGCGCCGGTCCGGCTCTGCCCGGCTCGCGCGCCTCCCGCCTCGGAGGCAGCCGTGACGGGCATGTTGGCTGGTCATGGGCTTCATTGCTTCGCGTCACCAGAGAGCGCCAGCGTGGGGTGTTGTTGTTGTAAGCGTTTCTGTAGCTGAAGGATAGCTTGAGCATCTTGGTTTCTTGGTTTACGGATAAATTGCTACTTTTCTGAAGGATCTCTAAAAGACGGTCTCATACAACGTCACCATACAAGCACTCTCACCACGACCTTCATGGTGATTGCTGCTTGCTGGTCAACGAGAGAATGATGTCCACCATCAGCCATCGTGGCCATCGTGGTCTTTTATATGAAAAGACAGACGGGGACGCCTCATTTTACTGTACTGTGCGCGATCGGTTCCCGAGCGGACATTCCTTCCTCGGACCTGACCTGCCTTTCACACAAAAAGTCTTTTGTCGGGCAGTGGTAGGGGTCACTTCTGCGGTCACTGAGACCTTCCGGGGCAAAACGTCCCCTAAAACGAAAGTGAGAGTGTCGAGCCAAATATCAATGATATTTACTGTACAATTTCGGGTCCCAGCCAGGCGGGTCGTATATAAAGGCAAGGTGTGAGAGATTCGATATCAGTCGCCAACAGCCACCAGCACAACAAGCACCATGAAGTTCCTGGTAAGCAGCACAGTTCTGTGTTAATCCCTCCAAATGAAAGTTAAGTATACTGGTCGTTTGTGTTCATAAGGCTGCTCTCTTTTCTCGCCCAGATCGTCCTTGCCCTGGTCGCTGCGGCCTCCGCCGCTCCCCAGTTCTTCTCCAAGGAGGTGAGGAAGATGGTCGTCCCCAGCGGCGCCTGGGAACGCCACGAAGAGCACCACGAGATCCCCCAGGCCCGCATGTTGGTCCAGGGCAAGTCCCACGGCGCGGTCCTGACTAAGGAGGGTGGTGCCCAGACCCTGGAGGAGTCCTTCGACATGAACGAGCCCGGCCGCTACCTGTACCACTTCAAGACCAACAACGGCATCGCCAAGATGGAGCAGGCCGCCCTGGAGAAGGATGCCGGCAAGGTGCAGGGCGCCTACGAGTGGACCAGCCCCGAGGGCCAGAACTTCAAGCTGGAGTACGTCGCCGACGAGCTCGGCTTCCACCCCGTGGCTGCTCACCTGCCCGTCGCCCCCGCCGCCCCCGAGATCCCCGTCGCCATCCAGCGCTCTCTGGAGTGGAACGCCGCTCACCCTGAGGAGGACGACTCTCAGATGTACGAGCAGCCCCAGTCCCAGATGTACGCCCAGCCCCAGTCCCAGATGTACATCAGCAAGAAGACCATGTACTAAGCTTGTTTTTGTGAATTATAATAATTTATTCTATTACACCCTGGATCTTTTACCCCAAAAATCTTTATTATTATTATTTTTGGAATGAAATGCTTTGGCCATCTCTAAAAGTTTGAATGATTAATATTTTAGCCTTTTTATCTTGGAAAGGCAATTATGGTCTGACAGTTGCCCAAAACACTGAAATTGAGTGTACTTTCGCACCTGCTCGTAATTGATTTTTACTGTGCGCCATCAAGGAAGATGGTTTTGTGGGGTTTGTCTTGTGGGTTTTGAGTATGGAGCATAGAATTTACTCATTCTATTTTCCACAGTGTGGTGGTACAGCCCGTATTTTGTGTACAGTCCATTGTGTGACAGGAAATGGGGTGCCACCGGGTGGTATTCGTCAAAAAGAACGATGATTTCATCGTTCCAAATAAAGTAGGCGATATTATTTATTCTAGAAATAATTAAGACATGCGCTGTCACAAAAGTCCTTCTAGGACCATCGAGATTGATCACATTTTGTGGTTTCTATAATGCACGTTCAAATTTTGGCGTGGGTCGACAAATTGCTTTTTCTTGAGTTTTCGCCGTTGGTTTCCAAAGGCAATAGCCCCCTAGGAAAGAAGACTAAATACTCACAAAAAGACACGACGCCAAAAATGAGATCATTTCACTCCAAAATTTAAAAGAGCATTCACTAGCGCCGACGACACTGAACAAGTCTTTTAGGGGAGCGTCAAGTGTCTGAGGCCGTGCTCGTCGAGCCGACCTTGGCGGTGCGTGACTAGAGGTGCGTGACGAACGCCTCGGGGATGGTCAGGGCAACCTCGACCGGGGTCTGGGTCTGGGTCAAGGCCGGGGCCGGGGCCGGGGCCGGCGCCACGGAGGAGGTCTTACGCCGCCTCATGGACTTGCGGCCCAGGGCCTCGGCCTCGGCGATCGTGTCGGGCAGGGCCTCGTCGCCCATGTCCGGGAAGGTGAGGGCGAGCAGCCCGCTCACCATGGCCGCGCCACCGAACACCAGCATGGGCAGCGCGTCCAGCAGGCGCCCCAGCTGCGGGGTCTGCGGCGCCAGCACCGAGCCCATGCGCCCCATCGTGGCGCACGTGGCGAACAGCGTGGCGCGCACGCTGGTCGGGAACAGCTCCGTGGACAGCACGTAGATGACGGTGAACGAGATGGTGACGCACAGCTTGGCCAGCAGCACGGCGGCCGTCCGAGGCCAGGGCACGTCTGCGGCAGAGGGAAATGAGCGGGTTACGAACTTTCAGACGGAGATCTCCGTAAGTTGTAAATTTTAAAGGACCCGTCATCTTATCGCCTTCCAAGAACTCGTAGGGTCCTTGAAAGTACTCGTACTGTGTACTGTGGCACTGTGGCCCGTGCGCTAGCCGCCCTCCTTACCCGCGGGGAGGAAGTGGAAGGCAAAGCAGCAGAACGCCGCCAGGATGAAGGAGCCACTGAGGCTGAGCCGCCGTCCGAACAGCGTCATCATCTTGGCCGTGACGAGCGCGCCGGGGATCTCGATGAGCACGACCAGGATGAAGTTGAGGTATCGGTTGCCGGCCATCGTCACCGAGTTGATGGACAGGCCGTCGTAGACGAACATGATGGCGACCCTGGAGCAGCGCAAGCAGCGCACGAATCCCGTTGTCACGTACGACGAGAGATGCGGGGCGGGCGGCGCGCCGCGGCCAGTACTGCACTGATTAATCATTACCATGCGAAGCAGCAATTGAAGAGGCGGAAGGCTAAAATGCGGGAGCGGAGCAACGCCATCAGCTCGGTGGAGATGTCGGGCTTCTCATCCGCGGACCCGTCGCTCTCCTGGGGCATACAAAGGAACGACAAGAGTGAAGAGAGGGCGGACGGGGGGGTGCAACCAGAGGAGCATCTTACTGGCGCGCCCAAGCTCTGTCGAGGGCTCTACCTTGGTGACCCCGGACAGTTCCACCTTGTCGAAGTTGATTTGGCACGTGGACTCCGATCGGTTCATCTTGGCCGCCTTCCGGAGTATGTTCTGCGCATCCCGGACGCGGCCCTTGGACACCAACCAGCGCATGGACTCGGGCAGGAACAGCCTGGGCGACGACGTCATCGTCAGTTAACTCGTGTTGAAATTAAGACGTTGAGAGCCGCCGTCTGATCCCTTACCACAACAAGGGCAGCGTGAGCAGGGCCGAGCTGTACAGCGCGCGCAGCAGCCACCTCCAGTAGGGCAGCGCCCAGGCCACGGCGCCCAGCAGCGCCTGCCCCAGCGCGAACACCACGTGACTCGCGACGCTCCACGCGCCGCGCGCCGAGGAGGGCAGCACCTCCATGCCTGCCAAAGGGACGAAGCCTCAGAATTTGAGCGGTCACCTTTACGTCACCTACGAACTCCCGCCCGGGTTGCTTCTGAAGTAGGCAGAGCCGCGAGCAGAGCCAAGGAAGACGCCACTCACCCATGACGAGGGCCGAGCTACCCATGCCGTCGTAGAACATGGGGTCGATGAACTCGAGCACGATGAAGAACATGTAGCTGGGCGACACGGAGCGGGCGATGCCGATGACGCCCGACACGGCGAGCGAGGCGAGCAGGATCGTCTTGCGGCCGTACCTGTCCGAGAGGTAGCCGGACAGCGGCAGGCCCAGCACGCGCCCGATGTTGTTCATCGTCCCGACCAGGGTGACCTGCCAGTCGCCGCCGGACGCGCACGGCGTCAGGTCCCACTGTGGGACAAACACACTGCCGGTCAGCACTCTCCGTCCCTAGGCCTGCGAGCTTCGCGGCCGCGGTGAGCACGTCCCCGTCGTCGTCGCCCTCACCTCCGTCATGATGGACAGCTCCTTGTTGGGGTACACCCACTGCGTGCACTCCTGCGTCAGGTTGCTGAAGGCCTCCGCGGTGCAGGAGTCGCCGTCGATGCCGGGGAGCGCCACGAAGCGGCGGCAAGGGTCCGGGAGGCCGTCGGCGAGGGGCACGGCCATGGGCAGCCACGAGGGCGCCATCTCGGACAGCTCCTGGTCGCACTCCGGGATGTGACATCTGTGCGGGACACACTCAGAACTGTCAGCAGCGGCCCTCGCACCAGTAGCGCCGCACGGCCCGAGAAGCGCCTGCGGGTCGTGGGGTAGGCAACCCACAGTGCGCTGGTGTGGAAAGCACGGCCTACCCAAGCCGACAGCGACGACGCAGCGGCGCAGGGTAGCTTCGGATGCAGGGAGTAACCATGTTGAGTACCGGAAAACAGCTTATGACGAGGGGGCAATAACTCCCTTTTGAAGTGTACACATGATTCCCGAAATACTTGATTCCCAGTGATTCGCGGCTATTCCCGCCCGCTTATATTTATTCCTTAGGTTTTCTAGTTGTAGAAAACGCTTATTTCGACTACTCTGTACCAGTTCCGCTAGTTTCCCGCTTAGTTTAAGCGATTTCTGTTGATTTTGATCAACTTTTATCGTGGTGATTCCCAGGCAGGTGTACACATGATTCCCGGAGTTTTTGCCCCCTCGGCTTATGCAGTTTAAAGGGTATTTTGTAAGTAAATTTTCTTGATTTTCTTTAGGTGCAATACATCAAATATATTGATGGGCACGGTCAGACTGATTGTGTGTGATGGATGCATTATCTGCACTAACTTCGTTAAATAAATCGTGAAAGGTCGTGTGGGGGGTCTACAAAACTCGACAAACAAGTGAAAATGTAAATTTTTTCGGTTCCTTTGACTGCAGGCCAATTTGGATGGCTTTGATGACTTCTGCTGCATCGTTCTGTTCCCTCTTTGAAATTGGTTTTGAGTTGAGTATACGAGAGGCCTCTTGACCCAAGCTATTTGAGCCTCAACCCCGCGGCTGTGCCGCGCGCGTGCAGTGCCTGCCCACTGTACCACCCGCGGACCACCAAAAGATAGTGCACACTACTTCGAAAAAAATGGTGAGCTATTTTCGGCCAATTTTATCAGCTACCAAGAGAAAGGTCGACAGGTGCTTATTTTCTTACCTGTGATCCGATCGGAGAGTGGTGAAGACGTAGGAGAGGTAAAAGAGGGCCTGGAAGACGTAGGTCATGCAGATGAGGGACAGCGTGACGAGGTGGAAGCGGCCGAACCGCTTGCTGAGCGCCTCCAGAGCAGGCTCGAACTCCATCCTGGCGATCTCGCGGTCTGGAGAAGAGACCAGAGCAGAGCGGTATAACGAGACTCTCTTGCCCAAATCTACGATATACGATTGCTCCTCTCCATACCTCAACGATCCTAATGGACGGTCTCTGAATTCGTTGAATAAATTACGTTTAGCAGCGTATAGAACTTTGTGGTTCCCGTTATTTTACCTGGGATGTTCGTATACCTCTCCAACGCGGGTCGAAAGTCAGTCGGGGCCCAAAGAGACAGACCAGCCCTCTGACTGGAAGGGAGGTTCCGACGACGGAAATGCGAAAATAGAAGAGAAAATGCAGGGCAAAGGATCACCGACAGGTTTCCCATCGATCTCTGACTTGTCTGAAAGCTCGTTTTCCTGTTTTACAAACTGATAGCAGCCACATTCCAGAGATGGCACCGGGCTAGAGTCCAAGAATAGGGTAGAAACGTTCTAACGGGCTTTGATGTTTAAAGAAAAAGTGAGAGAAAGCGCCCTAAAATTCACATGTGCTTTTTAGAAGAATTATTGCCAATTATTGTTAGTCTCTTAAATATTTTGTACACATATTAAGTTATAAATTGAACTCTTTGGGGAAGGGGCAGGGGTAAACGGGGATGTCAGCAATTCCGTGAGGAAATTTTTTTCCATACATGCTGAGCTTAACGAAGTAAGGACACGCATTTGAAAAACAGAAAACTGAAAATAACTCGGTGAGGAGCAGAGTGCAGTCATGAAAAGGGAGGAAAGTACGAAAGTACGCCCCTCTGACCCAGGGACACACTCATATAACGGCCACAGTTAGTTCTCGTCTCAATTGAAGAAGGAAAAGTGTAATTTCGGAACGAGATCGAATTTCGACGGATTCGGTATCTATGTGAAGTCAGACTGATAAAGGATGCCACTAACACTGGTTGTTGCGCTCACCTCTGCACTTCAGAGTAGAAGATTGGCTGCTTGTCCGCGGGGGGTGGTGTGGAGTGTGGGCGGCGCCCTGGTCGGCCCGTCCCTCAGCCCCTGTGTTGACGCATCAGGCCCTCTGGGGCCGCACCGCGAAGCAAGCGAAGCAAGCGAAGCAAGCGAAGCAAGCGAAGCACCCCGAAGTCTTGGCTGCACTCCGCTGCGCTCTCGTGGGCTGGCGCTGGAGCTGCCTGGCTCTGCCCCGCGGTGAGCCTGGCCTGGGCCTGGCCTCGGGTCGGGTCGGGACGGGCCGGAGCGGACCTAACCGTCGCGATGGTCCGGCAACGTGACAATAAGCTGCCCAGATGAGGACGTTCAGGACGACGGCACGCTGCGCCACCGCTCGCGCCCCGCTCCGCCCTTCCGCGC